ACAGCTGTGTTGTCAGGACTCCGTGAGGTGATACACAGTAAACACCAGTCCCTAGCCCTGAGCCCACCCCAGCCGTGACTCCGTACAGTGTGTTCGTGCTTTGGAGCTGTGCACTAGCTAAACATCTGTCTACCCCACTGTCTGCTACGCTCTAATCTCTCCCTCTCTCCCCCCATCTCTGCTTCTCTCTGTATCTCTGCCTCTCCCTCTCTCTCTTTCCCTCTCCTCTGCTTTCCTTCCTTTCTCTTCCCCAATCTCTCTGCATATGTGAGTGTTTGTGTAGATGTATAGGTACAGCCTATATGGTCCATGTTCGTTTCAGGAAAACAAAGTGTACTTCATAAAACTTTAAAACTACTAATAATCTCATAATTCCATGCCGGGTATAGCTACTATTTTGTTGAGCCTTCCCTGTCTTACCCATGCAGTATGTCATATTGAAGTAAATGTAAGTTTCCATGTCCATGTAGTTATATCTCCATTCAGAGGACCAGAGTATATGTGCTGTCCAGAAGAAGGTTTCCTACTCAGCAGTGTACCATGTTTATAAACAAAAAAATGTGCATAATCACCTGACATTACAATTTTTTTTTGAGACAGGGTTTCTCTGTAGCTTTGGAGCCTGTCCTGGAACTACTCTTGTAGATCAGGCTGGCCTCAAACTCACAGAGATCCACTTGCCTCTGCCTCCTGAGTGCTGGATTAAAGGCATGCACTGCCACCACCTGGCTGACATTACAATTTTAAATAAACCCTATATTTAGATAATTTCATATTGTTATAAATTTAAATGAATCGAATATTCTGTTACAAACTCTACTTGAATGAATACCTCTGTGTTGGTCTTTTTCAGCAGCAGATTCCTGTCTCTCTTCTTGATCAGAGAGGCGAGTGACCCATGGGGTTCAAAGAAAGCACATACTTTGCATTACAGTACTAAGAACACTTCATCAAAACAGAATCAACAAAGTAAACAAGTCTTCCCCAAAAGAGTACTGATCAAGTACAATCGGAGACGTACAAAGTGGGTTAGACTCGGGAACAGTTAGAACATAGGACACGGGGGACTGTGTCTGTCACATGCTTGTTTCCTCTTTTGTGGAAGAAAGGGGGTAGTGAGGATCCTTGTGCACACTCACCTTCGCTCTGCCCCTGAGCTGCACCCTCAGCGCTGTGTGCTTGCTTCACCAGATAAACATGGGACTAGAGAGATGGTCCTGTGGGTAAAGCACTTGCCTTGTGTACCGGTAAGGACCACGAGTTTGGATCCCTGGGTCCTTATAAAACCAGATACAGTATATCTGTAATGTCCTTCCCACCACCCAACCCCCACCCCGTCATACTCCAGGAAGATGAGAGTCAAGAGACAGGAAAACCCCAGTAGCTCCTGCACTCGCTAGCCTGACGTGGCCACCAGTGTAAACTAAGAGACTGACACCCACGTCTGTCCTCTGGACCTCTACACAGGCACCACAGCATGCACACACATGTACTCCCACACACAAAGACAGATTAGATAAATAAGTAAATGGAAATCTAACATATGTTTGTCAAGTAAATACTGATTCACAATTATTTCCTTCCATATCCAGACCATCCATTGCACAGGGCATTGTCAGAAGCCATATAGATAAGTAAAGTGATAAATTAATGTTAATAAAAAATGGCCAGGTTGCCGGGTGGTGGTGGCGCACACCTTTAATCCCAGCTCTCAGGAGGCAGAAGCGTTTGGATCTCTGTGAGTTCAAGGCCAGCCTGGACTACAAGAGCTAGTTCCAGGACAGGCTCCAAAGGTACAGAGAAACTCTGTCTCGAAAAAACAATTTAAAAGGAAGGAAGGAAGGAAGGAAGGAAGGAAGGAAGGAAGGAAGGAAGGAAGAAAGAAAGGAAGAAAGAAAGAAAGAAAGAAAGGAAGGAAGAAAGAAAGAAAGAAAGAAAGAAAGAAAGAAGGAAAGAAAGAACAGCCAGGCATAGTAGCTCGCAGCTGGGATACAGAGGTTAGTGGATCTCTGTGAACTAGAGGCCAGCCTGGTCTACATAGCAAGTTCTGGGCCAACCAGAAATACATAGACCCTCTCTCTAAATAAATAAAAACCTGTACAGAGTTCTCCGGTAAAAGAAAGGGAAGATTTAGCCAAGGAAGTGAGCCAATCTCAGCATATGAGTAGCGTGTTTACCAAGGACCGTGTTCCTGTAAGCGTGGGTACAGAGCGGAGTGTACCGACTTCCTGTCTGGGAAAATCCAGCTCGAAAGGGACTGCCCTGCTAAACCTTGGGCACTATTCATTGTCTTAGGAGCCTGAGTAATGTTTGCAATTTAAATTTCCAAACATTTTCCTAATAACATATCTGGATGACAGGGAGAATGGAGAGAGCCCGATGGGCCGTCTCCTCGCTGTGGTCTCTGTGTCACGAGGTGCGATCATTTAACCTCACTGAGTCTGTAAAATTGGGATAATGATGACCTATTTCTATTCTCTACTTCTTAGAGGTAGTGCCAGTATTTAGGCAGGAAAATGTTAATTAATGAGAGCTCTTTGAAGCTTCTGGAACGTGTGAGGTGGCATGACAACACACGGCAGGGTTAATATGTCTGCACTTGATCCTTTGGGTGTCTGTGTTAAATATTCATAATGTGGGATTCACATTCACAAACAAGCGGACTCCCTGTTTTCTGTGTCCTAATATGAATCCATGGCCGCTTTTGAGCTAAGGTTGACTGCTTTCAGCATCTCACCCAGTTTCCCAGGGAGTGATCACGGGATCCTGGTAAACACAGGGAAGGACCCCTCCCCCGGACATCATTCCGTGCCTCGTCCTCCTGCCCCTTCTGTTTATTCCTAAGGCTTCTGCCTTCCCTCTGTGCAGCAACTGCGTTTTGTTTCTGTCCTCAGGCATGACCCTCCCTTCCTTCGCCAGTCAATCCCACTCTCCCTTGTCAACCCATCACAGCTGATAGTCTGTGTCCTGGCCAGTTGGGGGTCTCTCCTCAGCATCCTGCAGGGCTCCTGTCTGGTACCATCAAGTGGCAGTGCTGAACATGTGCCAACAGACAGACAATACAGGAACTTTTTTGTTGGTGGGGGACACATGGAAGACAAGTCCGCAATGGCTAACCCACCCTACCCTATCACCTGTCCTACAGTACCTGGCTTCTCAGGCCTCATTGGCCTCTTCACTTCGTGGGACAAGTGCGCTAGAGATGTCATTTTCTTAGGGTGTGCATGCATGCTAATCTTAGAGAAACCATTGGGCTTCGTTTCTGGTAAATGTTGATGCCAATATGTCAATGCCGAATTGCACGGTGATCCTCCTCCGTCCACTGCGCTGTGGGGAGCACTTCCCGTCTGCAGCAGTTACCGAGTGTGACAACAGCAGCTTGTACTTTCTTCTTAGTCCCTCACCAAGACATCCTCGTCCCTGGCCTGCCCACACGCTCTAGCCGCACCATCAAGGAGAGAGGTGATCCTAAGTGAAGACACTCGGGGTCCAAAAAGCCAGCTGAGGGACATGACTGAGTTCATGGTGTGCTGAAGGTCCCCAAGACTGTCCTCAGTTGCAGTGACTCAGGGACTTGCAGGACTTAGGAAAGCTGTCACATTCAAGATTATGGTCCATTACATCAAAAGGATACAGGTTTTTTGTTTTGTTTTGTTTTTTGTTTCACGAGACAGGGTTTTTCTGTCGTTTTGGAGCCTGTCCTGGAACACCAGGCTGGTCTCAAACTCACAGAAATCTGCCTGCCTCTGCCTCCCGAGTGCTGCGCCAGCACCACTAGGCAGGGATACAGATTTAAAGGAATAGGACAAGGGACCTAGGATACAGTCGCAGCTTCCAGATGTCTTTTTCCAGTGATGTCATATGGATGATGGGCGTACTTAAAAAAAAAAAAAAGACACAATCTCATTATGTAGCTGAAGATAGCCTTGAACTCATGATCCTTCTTCCCCTTCCTCCTGAATATTAGGATTATGGAGGGAAGCCACTGTACCCCCTTTAGTATGCTTTGATTTTAGCGGTAATTTGTACTAATATCTGTAAAACATTGTCCATCAGCCTTAGAATCACTGGGTCAGCCACACGGGTGTAGAATACCTGTAAAACTGACCTCCGCCACTTGGATTACAGACCCTCAGAATAAAAATAGGCATGGAGTACGTACCACATTATTGGCATAAACTCTCTGATCCTGTGCCCTGAGGCCTCAGGCATGCAAATCAGCCAGGCTATTATAAGGACACAGACTTCTTAAGAGTCAATCCAAAGCCAGTCCTGCAAACAGACTTTTCCTAGGGATTTACAGGAAGGATTTCAGCAACCAGGCCTGCAGGGCTAACCCTCCTCTGCACACATTCTCAGTCAAGACAGGAAAGCCAATGCTGCATGAGTTCAGCTCTCAGACCTCGACTGTTGCCCTCTGTGTTAGTCAGCTCTCCATCCCTGCAAGGAAATCTCGGAAACAATTAGTACCGAAGACCAAAGTTGGATTCAATTTCGTCGCAGTTCTGAAGGCACAAGGCCAAAGTTGGCAGCCATATTGAGGCAGCCTATCAGGGTGAGCGCTTGTGTCAGAGCCAAGTGGTCTCATCCTGAGGAGACCCACTCCCATGATCTCCTTTGAGGCCATGATCCTGATAACCTCTGTAGCTGCCTCCCTTTGAGGCGCCACCTCCCAGAGTTCCACAGTACCTAATATCACCAAGGCGTCACATTTGAAAATCTGGGGGACGGCTCACGACAGAACACAGCAGAGTAACGTTTCCTCTACCCTCACAGGATCATTGCTATCATTTTCAGCAAGGACTTGCAAACTGTTGTAGTCATTATTATTCAAGGGACAGAGGCGTGAGAATAAGCCCTCGATGCTTCCTTAGCATCTTAGTGGGTCCAAAGCGCAGTTGCCTGGACCCCGAAACAAAGGCAACTTGAGAGCCCTGTGTCCCCAGTCCTCTGCCATCCAACCTCCTCCTTACTTCTCTTCCCTGTCTTTTCCCCGGCAGTGGCTCAGAAACCCTGGCCCCCAGCACGAGAAGCGGACTCTGTTTGGAGACATGGTGTGCTTCTTGTTCATAACGCCCCTGGCCACCATCTCGGGCTGGCTGTGCCTGCGGGGCGCCGTGGACCACCTGCACTTTAGTAGCCGGCTGGAGGCCGTGGGACTGATTGCCCTCACTGTGGCGCTCTTCACCATTTACCTCTTCTGGACACTAGTGAGTATGGCCCCCCAGCCGCTGGGGTTCGGGTGGCTAGAGCTGACACGCACAAGCCCCCCTCGGGGCTGCAGCGCCTCTCACCTGCCCGATGGAGGACGGACCTTCAAAGGCTGGCGTGGTGCACCCGTGTGGTTTGGTGGTGGCGTGGGGGGGGGGGGGGGCTGAGAATAGGAATGAGAAGTATGTACAAGCACACTGCAGGAAGAGCACAGGAAAGGAGGAAAACCCAGGCTCCCGGCCCTCAACAGTCAGACACGTGCCCCTGAGTCCTCTCTGCTGGACTAGGATTCCAATTGGTATAAGGCATGGCGCTTGCTTTCTCTGGCTGCTCCTGGCTTTTGCCAGGATAGGTTAGGAATGATCGCTGCTCTGCTCTGCAGCCTCCCGCATAGGTCATGAATCCTGCCTGCTGGCTATTTCCTCCCTGCATCCCAACCCAGTCTAGAGTCTCTGCTGGACATGGCGCTGAACTCTGATTATTCCGTGTGTTGGGATATTGACTCCGCTACCCATAAAAGCACTAATTTATCTAGTTGAGAAGACTTTGCTGCCACTGAAGAAAAGCCGTTTTCCTCACAAGTGTCCCTGCTGTGTAGGAGGAAGAATTTGTAAGCATCCCCTTTTCCATTCATTTAACTTCATGCAATCAGCTGGTTGCTGGGGCACCAGGTGGAAGCACCCACAAAGTACCCCCTTTGCCCCCTCTTTGTGCTATCCGGTGAGAACTGAAGGGCTGAAGGGGAGGTCGCCGCCCTTGAGAATGCGCGTCCAGAGGCCAGCCAGCCAGCCTCCCACTTCCTGGTCTGAGTCTCCTGTGTGGGCTCAGCTGTAATCTGAGCACGTCCCGTTGTTATTCAGTAGTATTTCCTGTGAAAGTGCGCCCTTCCCGTACCCCAGAGCACAGTGTCCCCCCACCTCCCTCCCTCTTCCTTCCGCTGCCAATCAGACCCTCTGTTCATTTCCCTATTACTAATCTTGAGCTCTTCCGGCTCCAGCCCTCCCCTCCCACAGTGAGGAGTGTTCAGGCTGTCGCGGGATACATTTCAGCCTCTGGAAGAGGGACATGACTTGAACAGTAGTAAACTGGGTGCATTCTGCTGCCAAGAGCTCAGGGAGACTTCTGATTGGTTCAGAAATTTAATTCCACATAATGAAGCCTCTCCCCAAACTACTTTTTCCTCCTGTAATGGTCCACGTTTTTTTGTGTGTGTGTGTGTTTTTTTTTTAATGTATCCTGCTTAGCTATAAATCAAACAAGGAAACTGATCCCAAGCTTTCATTGTGAGGAGAGAACTGTTAGAAATAAGAAATTAAGCAGGGCTGGGGAGATAGATGGCTTAGTGGGTAAGAGTACATAAATCCAGTAGACCTGAATTCAAATCCCCAACACCCATATAAAATGTAGCCATGGTTCTGCATGCCTGTAGCCTCAGTATTGTAGGGAGGAAGGCAAAGACAGAGTACAGAAGCTTGCTGGCCGATCAGCCTAGCTGAACAGAGGAGCTTCAGGTTCAAGAGACCCTATGTCAAGGCAATAATGCTTGGGATAGATTAAGACACCCCACGCCTTGCTCTGGCCTCATGCACATCCAGAGCGCGTACGTACATATGCACACACACGCGCACTCGCACACACACACACACAGGTTGAGCAGTCTGACTGCACCCCACTCTGTCAGTTGCACACCTTGTAAAGTCACTTCTCTGAGCCTTCGTCATCCCTGTGGTGGCCCACTTCCCCTGGTATCATGCGGCTGAATCAAGAGTACACAGTCAACCACTTTGGAAAATAGTAATTAAGCACAGGGAAGTTTTGTTTGCTTGATACTCTTTATACCAGGTTTAGGCTTTTCTGGGTCTGTGATTTCTCATAGAACCATATCTATGATGAAAAACTGAAGAAAAGTGAAAGCTCATGCTGGGCCTCCGGAACCAAAGGAGATCCTGCAAAGGTGCTCTGTAAACTGTGCACCTGCCGGATAAAGGAGAAGCGATGGGGAAGAGCAGAGAGAGATGGTGGGTCGTTAGAACTGGGTGGAGAAGGTATCTTAAGCTAGGCTTTCTAGAATGGCGTAAAGAATTGCAGAATGCACTGTGTGGCCCCTGCCTTTAGAATCCGGAGTCCAAGTTTAAACCCCAGCAAGTTTCAGCATCCACAGCTGAAAAACTTACCCTTCCATATTTATCCTTCTTGCCCGAAGAGAAATGAAGGAAAGAATTGCTCACTCCTAGGTTGTGGTTCTTTCTTATGAAGATTAGTACCCTAAGATCTGGTGACTTAAGTCTAATACCCCCCCACAGGGCAAGGCCAGGGTCTTCTTTCTGTGTCTTCCTGGCTCATTCAACTTCTACCTTCTCCCTGCCCTCCAGAAAATCCAGAGTAGCAAGAGGGAAGGAATGACTCTCCTCTGCCTTGACTGGCGTGAGACACACACACACTCACCCTCATACACACACACACACACACACTCATCCTCACACACACATTTACTTTCTCTCTCTCTCTCTCCCTCTCTCTCTCTCTCTCTCTCTGTCTCTCTCTCTCTCTCTCTCTCTCTCTCTCTTACTCTCTCATGCTGTGGAGTCAGCTCAGCAATAGGTTACTGAATATAGAATAATTCCTTCCCAGATAAATGCCGTCCTGAGCGGCTGGCACAGCCGTAATTCAGGCGCTGACAGCACTGGGAAAGGCCCTCCGGCAGCAGCCCATTGTAAACAAGCTGTCAGGCTTAAGGAGACTGCGCTGTGAAAATGTCTCAGATAAACAAACACGGCATCAGTCCAGGCCTGGCTCCTCAGAGGAGCCCTTCCTGGAAGAGCCTCTCACAGGTGCTGTGACAAGGGACAAGCACTCACTATAAACCTCCAAGAGCCTCTGATAACTCATGGCCACAAGGACCCTGTCATAATGTGACCTCAGAGGCCTGCCCCAGGCAACCTGCTGTGTTCTAGAAACCCACCACCTTGAAGGCAGGAGGCCAGGCCCTCCAGACTCTCCACTCCCCATGGTCAAAGGGAAGGTACATGAATTTAAGTCTGAGAGCAGGCAGACAGCTGAGAACTGGGTCCACCGTAGCATGAACACTGGGTGTTGGCCTTATACAGGCTGAAGAGGCCAGTGCCATGGTGCCAGGCATCTCTCACATTACTGATGCTGCAAGGCCAACCCAGTGGGTGCAGGACTAAATCCCTGGCTAGACTTTCATCCCATGGCTTGATCATTTAAATTCTGGATGTGGAAGAAGCCTCCAGTTCTATATCCTGCCTGCCCACGCTCACTGTGGGACTGGCTCACAACCACATTTTCTTTGAGCGCTTCTCTTCTCCGGGCGGGCCCGCCGGGGAGATGACTGTGTTGTGTTTTGTTGTTGAAGGTTTTTGTTGTCGGACCTGGGCTGGTCTTGACTCATGGCTCTCCTCATCCCTCAGCCTCTGGAGTCCGAGGATTACAGGCATGAGCCAAAGCACCCACATTTTATCAAGCTTTTGCCAGCATAATTGGCCTAAGCAGGATTTTTTTCTACAGTCAATCCATTCCTTATAAGAGATCTCTTCTGTTCTACAGTCAGACAAGCGAGCTGGGACCACTGGGGGAAGGCGGCACCCCATAACCTGATCCCATCCTTATGCTTTAGTCACCCCAGAACTTCCCAAGAGAAGATTTTGTTAGGTTTCCCAAAGCCTGCCAGGATGTCACCACAGGCCTTCAGCACTTCAGCTGCGTCCCTGAGAGGGAGGTGTGCTGCTAACATCTCCTTCCTTCAACCTTCCTGTGGTCAGAGCTCACTGTAAACCGACCCCAGCCAGGAGGTTAGTGTCCTGGGGTGAATAAGAGAATAAACTTTGGAAATCAACCCATAGGCAATAGTAATAATAAAAAAAAAAAGTCCTATTCCCTTTCTTCTACCCTATCCTGAAAACCCGGGAGATAAAGTCTGAATGAGGCTCTTCACTTTCTCACCCCAGTTCTTTTCAGTTCTTGCCACTTCTCTTTATTTCTCTAAATTAAACTTTCTTTCTCCCCCGCTATAATAAAGCACTGTGAGGAGGGGGTGTCTTGGAGCATCTGGAGAAGGAGCAAATATTAGCCCCAGGGCCACTGCAGACTTGTGGTCTCCACTGCCTTGTGCTCTACTTCTTTTATTTTCCCCGAGATGTCGTCTTCAAGATGTTCCCATTGATTGAATTTGCCTGCAGACTTTGGTAGTTAGCAGTAATTAAATGGATTAATATAGTCTCATCTGTTTGTCTACACCAGTGAGCTTTGTGTGTGTGTGATCACAGAACCTGCTAAGTCCTTGACTCCTGCCCTGCTGTCCCTAGGATCAGCACCTCTCAGGCTCCAGTGTCCCTTCAGATCACCCAAGAATCTTGTTAGGCCTAATGCTGATTCCAGTTCCACAGGCCTGGGTGGGGGCCAGGATTCTCCTGCTCCAACAAGCTCCCAGCAGCTGCCGCCTGCAGCGGGTCCACTACCACACCGCGCTGGCTTAGAGGAAACAGCTCGATCTCTCTGCGGGTTTCCAGTACCTCTCAAAATTATCATCGTCCCTTTCTTCATATTTCTAATGCATAAAAAAAAAACATCCCAGGTCAAGAACACTGATGTACATACAAGACTGTACTGAGCGCTTGAAGAGCACCTCAGGTTCACATTCTATCAACAAGGAAGCTAAAGCCTGCGCATGACCACCTACAATGCTAGGCAGCCACTAGGTGGAGGAGGGGCACTCCAGCCCCGTGTACCTGTCCACTGCCTGCGTGTTCCCACAGCCACGCAGTTAGCCCTCCTGTTGCTAACTCCAGTGGCTGGCTGGTGCTTGCTGACTGGAGATCCCGCTGTCGGCAGTTTGGGGTTCGGGACTTCTCGGGTTGCTGACCCTTCATTAGTACTTGCTTGTGTTCCTCGTCTTTCCTGCACTTGACTCTGAGCAGCAGGCTTTCCCACCTGCCTTCCAAGTTCCAGGGAAGCACCAATAGCAACACTGTAGAGTAGATACAAGGGAATGGGGGGAAAAATGAATCTTTGTGAGTTCGAGGCCATCCTTGTCTACAGAGTGAGTTCCAGGACAGGACAGCCATCCTGTCTGAGACAGAATCCCTGTCTCAGCCAACAAACAAACAAACAAAAAAGATGGATGCACTCCAGCATGGTCAGGGCATTTTGGAAGCAGTACATCTGTGAGAGCCGGGAGCTTATATTTTCATAACTAAACCTCCCTGGTACCCAGCGTGGGCATCTGCTCCTCACCCCAAGATGTTCAATGGTGGCCTTGGATTTCAGGGTCCTGATGTGGAGCTTTTTGGGTCAGAGTTTCTACTTCCCTTTATTTACAGAGAAACTACGCTCAAACCATCAGATCAGGCCACTCCGTGGACCCTTCCTGGGGTCTCACGACTCGCCCAACCCAAGACTGTTCAACAGTGACTTGTCACTCTGAGCTCGGGGTACCTTCCTAACGGCACAGACCAAAGGATCTGGATGCACTCAAACCGAAACTTCCCCAGTTTGGTGTTTTGTTTTATTTTGTTTTACATTCATTTATTTGTCTTGTGGGGGAGGGGAAGTCTGTTCGCTCCTCCCACCACGGAGGTCCTCAGGCTCGGGCGGTAACTTTCTTGTCTGTTTGAGCCACCTCCCAGTCCTCACCCCCAATTTTAGAAGTATGTCTCCAACTGGGCTTGGTGGCACACGCCTTTTATGCCAGCATTTGGGAGTAGAGGCAGGCAGATCCCTATGAATTCGAGGCCAGCCTGGACTCCATAACCAATTCCTGGTCAACCAGGGCTACAAAGTGACGCCCTATCTCTTCTTTAAAAACAGGATTGAGGGGGTACAATCTGAATTTTTTGAGCAGGCCATCAGTTTCTGCCAACCTTTTCTGAACTCTTGGGATCTCTGTGGTGGGAGGAGCGAATAGACTTCCCCTTTCCCACAAGACAAATAAATGAATGTAAAACAAGCCCGTTCAAGCGTCCCATTCTAAAGCATCTAGATAAAAAGCAAGCACTTTAAGGTACACTTAGGTCCTGAAACCTGAAGCAGTGTTTTGGTCAGAAAGCATGGGATCTCCTCAGCTCTTCACTCAGCTCATTCCAGCAACTTCCAAAGCGTCTAACACTGTGAGAAGTGGCGAGCCAACACCTGCTCTGCTCCCCAGATGCTGGGAGCCCATGGCGAGAGACAAGAAAATACGGTGTTGATCACACGACTCCACACCATGGTCAGGCCAGGTGACAGTTTTGCAGCCGGTCTAGCACAGGACAAAAGGCGTCCTTTATTTCTGAATATGAATAGGGTCTTTTACGCGAACTCCCAGCACCCTGCCCCTCTAACTGTGCAACACGGAGAAGAGACAGCTGCATTGCCTGGGGCCCACAGCTGGACAGGGCTTGGGGCTGTCTCTCTGGTCAGTCTTCTTCAGAACTGAGGCTTGGGAACCGGAAACAGATCCCAACTCAGAAGGAACTGTGTTTTCCTGCTCACCCCCTGGTCTCTCCCAGAATGTGGAGGAGAAAAGGAAGCAGTCATGGCAGCCCCAACAGAGGACATGGCAGGCTCAGTTGCTGACTGGAGACCCTTACCCAGGGTCCTTGCCCCACCCTGGTACTGTAACTTTGAATGGCGTGTTTATTGACGTGAACTGACTGTCAACTTCTGCCACCTCTGATCCTTTCGTACTTTTCCTCCCCTGCCCCAGGTGTCATTTCGGTACCACTGTCGACTGTACAACGAGTGGCGTCGGACCAATCAGAGGGTGATTCTCCTCATTCCAAAGTCTGTCAATGTGCCCTCTCATCAGCAGTCCTTGCTGGGGCTCCACTCGGCTAAGAGGAACTCGAAGGAGACCATTGTTTGATGTCCGCGTGGTCAGCCGGTAGACCCACTGTTTGGAAGTCTCTGCACTGGGGGCCCTGCGCTGAGCCACCAGCCCGAAGCCCTTCCCTTAGCCTTGTGGGTCTAGGAACAAATGGAGCCGTGTGACCACATCGCCTGAGTAACGAACTCGGCCAGAAGGAAGCAAATGCTGTTTGACTTCAAAATCATGAATGCTGCACTCGTATGATACTTGCTAAGCTGCCAAACACATCTATTTAGCAGATACTGTATGGGATTCTCGGAACACCTCTTTACCATATGAGGAAGGTTGTCCTGCTGAGGATGCAATTCAATTCTTCCTTTTTTTTATTACTATTTCAAATATATGTATATATATAGATATATAAATATATAATTTAGACGATAATCAGAATTTAAAAGCCAATGTACAAACTGGTTTCTTGGTTTGGATGGGTTTTATTTGGGCTAGTTTCTTCATTTCCCGGTTTCTACTGTGGATTCTTTGGCGGCTAACTTGATAGCCAGAGTGGTCTTTCTCATCTCTTTCATGTCCCTTACTCAAGGCGACAGCATAATTACTGCAGAACAAGTCACATCTAAAGGGTGTTTTGTACTAAACCTCATTTAGTTATTCAGTTTTTAAAGGGAAAAACAGGCGTGGCTACTCGCCACACCGTGAGCTGTTTATTTAAATATTATTAAGGAGGAAAATGAAGGCAAGAAGCTCGCGCCTTTCAACTTGTTTGGTACTGACAGCTGATAGAAGCTATTTTCTAATAATAAATATCTGGTGTGTGAAAGACAAGTCTAACTGGTTCAATGCTCTTTCTTTTTAATTCTTAAAACCCGTATAGCTCCCCAACTAGGTTTACAAAATGAAAAAGTCAAAGCAAAAAAAACGGCTGTTCCTCTCCCTGCCTTGCCTCAGTTAGTTCAAGTCTTCATTTTGCTTTTGCAGGGAACTGGGGATCCAGGGTGGCTTCTAGGAACCCTAGACTTGTTTTGCATATCAATTAGCATCCCCGTGGCTCTCCTGAATTTCTTGCCTGAGAGGTAGACGTGCGGTAAAGCCTGTCCTCGCAGCCTAACGCTTAGTCGAACACCCTGTTGTCAGATTAAAAAAAAAACAACAAAAAAAGTGCCACACAGTTTCTTTCCCCAGCCACGGAGCCAATTCTGTCGCAGGCCAAAATAGACTTTGTCTGGGGACTTCGTGTCTCTCTTTTATCCGACACAGCATAGACGGCTGACCCCTAGCCCGCATTGTGTGTCCACTGAAGTCAGGAGCGGATGTCTTTGAGGCAAACACAGGCTGGGGCGGCTCCCACCTGGCCACCCACTCATACATGCACAGGACGACAAGGTTGACCCAGACGAAAAATCCTGCTCTCTGGAACATGACCCACATTCTAAATATCCGCTCCAGCACCCGCCTTCTGCTCCCCGAGCGGGACCGCGTGAGTGCAGGCAGAGGCTCGGAGGGGACCGGGGAACGATTGGGTCTGCAGATTGACGAAACTGCTGCAGCTGTCCCCTTTGTGGGCCAGGCCGTCCTCGCCCAGGCTGTTCTCTGCGCTGCCCAGGGAGGGAAACAGCTGTACGATCTTCACTGGGAAACTCAGATGTGCTGCTTTATGGCTTATGACAATAGGTTCCCGCCCTGCCACGTTTCACTTGGACACTTCAATTCCAGTAATCCAGGTCTCAGCCCGGCTGTTTACGCGGCCCTGCTCACCCCCTCGGCTGTCATTTAGCCGCACCACCATCAACGGTTTCTTAATTGACCTTTTTAAAATGCTGGACACCGCTGGCTGCACGCAGCTGCCACGCATTTAAATGTCCTCCGCAGAGTCCAGCTTGGTAGCTTGTGAGTTGCTGCACTGCTATATACTTGATAAATGATGTCCAGCCAGCCTTGGGCCCTGAGCTGTCAGGGGAACCAGTGACACCACTCAAGCGAATGGCACAACCTTCGCGAAAGGTCGGCCCCCTCTCTTCGCTGCCACCGATTGGAATTAAGGACGGGGTGGCATCTAAGGATCTGCTGAGTTAGGGTGCAGAGGATTCCTGCCGCCTTGGGTCATAAGATTAAAAACAGTATTTAAAGTAGGGTGCTTCCGAGAGCCTCCCTGGGTCTTTGAGGAGGGCAGCACATCGGTACTAGGCCTCTGCCAGGTCTCTTTCCTACCAATTTGAACCCACCTCAGGAAGGAAAGCAGAGCTCCCCCGCCTCCCCCCCAAGGTTGAATGTGGGGTGGTGAGAATAACAATGCCTGGTCCTCCAAGTGCAGCCATTCTCAGCCTTCCTAATGCTGTGACCCTTCAATACAGTTCCTGGCGTTGTGGTGACCCCCAGCCATAAAACTATTTTTGTTGCTACTTCATAACTGCAGTTTTGCTACAGTTATGAATTGTGATGTAAATGTCTGTGTTTTATGATGGCCTTAGGCAACCCCTGTGAAAGGGTCATTTGGCAGCCCCCCCCCCTCAGGGGTCGTAACCCACAGGTTGAGAACACCTGTTCTACTGAGGACCCTAGTCTTCGTCAGCAACAGCACCCATCTCGGATTCTTAAACCTCTGGAGATCATCTCGTTCCCTCTTGGTCATGTAAGCCGAGGTTATGCAAGGTAGGGAGTCTACAGACAAGAGTCCGTACATCTGAGGGGAAAGGGTCTGCTGGCTCACTGGAGCAAAGCCACTGCCATTTCCAACTGGGCCAGAGAAGGACGTTCCCCCTGGCTACTTAACAGAGGAAGTGCTGTGATTGGCGCTAAAAGGTAAGGCTCTGATTGGTCCAAATCTGAATCTTTGTGGCTGAGACTGATGCCCAAGAGTCAAAGCCATGTAGGCTTGGTTTAAAATAAGGCTGTGACTTGGCCAAAGCCTCCCTTCTCAGCCTGTGTAAGGCTGCTGGGGCTCATTGAAGTCAGCCCTGTGCTGCCTCCCCTGAGCCAGAAACGTGAAGTCTAATAAAAGGCTTCTCTCAAGCGATCTTTTCTTGTCTACCTTAGTGGTGCAGGGCGAGCTGCTAACAAAGAAAGAGGCAGCAGAGTGTCAGGGGAAGCATCAGCCTAGCAGTCAATGCGCTGATCTGTGAAAGCAGCAAGGCCTCTGGCTGATTGACAGACAGGTGAAGCAGCAGCAGCTCAACAGCTGGTGAAGAGGAAGGGAAGACAGGGACGGGAAGAGAGGTCAGAGAGCAGAGAGAACGGTGGATACAAGAATCAGAAGAAACCGCAGGCGAGGCCCTACTCCCCTTGAGTTCCCAGAAGCCATCATGTCTTTAGGGTCAAGAATCTCAGACCCCAGGCTAAGAGGGATCCTGATACCTAGGCCTTCCTGGAAGCTTCCCTGCCAGCTACAGGCAAGGGATGACGAACGCCTATTTCCTGGGCTCCTATAGGAACAGTAAGAGTGTGGGACTAAGAATCAGATTCCCACAGTCTACGGGAGTACTGTTACGCTAGAAGGTACCACCTGCTGCTACTCCACAGCCTGCAGCCACCACACTCTCCTACCAAATATGGAGGCAAACAAAAGCCGTCAAAGATGAACAGGAAGATTTGCCTACCCGTGATTTCTATCTGAGCAGAGCAAAGGATCCCAGTCAGCCGACTGGTAATGCTCCCTTCCCAGCCGTTTATCTTGAGAATGTCCCAAAGAAACAAACGTGTGTGGCAGGGAAGCCAGGAAGACAACAACGAGCCCAAAACGCTCTTGCCTGCCCCATGTGTAAGCATGTGCTTCCAAGTATCCTCATCTGGGGAAGGAACAGAAGACATGGGACATGCACACGAATTCTACAGCCTGTGCCCAGATGAACTGTGAGATCCAACAGTCAAAAGGAAAAGGAATGATTTAGAATTCATTTTGTCTTTAGCTGTCCCAGTCCCCTTGCCCCAGTCATCAGACACTGCCACAGAGTATCGCTTCCGTCTGAGCTATAGCCACAACCACTTCATGTTCAGTGAAAGTCATCTGGAGCATGGAGGAGCCAAAGGAAGAGATGGGAAACCCTTATTCTACACTTGAGATCAGTGACGGATCCCATTTTTTCCCAGGCACTCCGTGTCCTTCTGCACACCGCCCTCCAGCCAGCTATAGCTCTGCGCTTATACTACTTCCTTGTCCTAGATTTGAATCCCATCAACTTTTCTTCATAGCCCACGTAGCTCCCCCAACTTCCCAAACTTAGAAAGGCGGAGACCAAAGAACCCAAGGAGGAAAAGACAGCTAAGAAATTAAACCAGCAAATGCTTCCTTTCCACTCCAACCCAGCATTCTAGAAGTCACCTGAAGACCAACCACACAGTTTATACTCCCTAATACCACATTACCACATGAGAAAAACAGAGTAATTCTAAAGCTTCATGTGTGGGAGGCTTGGGTCCACATGTCGGGAGAGAGTTTCGGATTGGTTAAGGAAGTGATGGTTGGAACCATGATAGAACTGGCTTGACATTGCTCTTGGCCAAGAACAGAGGACCTCTTGACAGAGGGGCAGACTGTATGAAGCCTGATGCTTCAGAGATGGAGTCATAAGAAGTTGGCACTGGGTGGTGATACCTGGGCAACTGCTAACACACAGAAATGGGGCAGTTCCGCAGAAACGTAAGTTCCGGAGGCTGGAGAGATGGCTCAGTGGTTAAGAGCATTGCCTGCTCTTCCAAAGGTCCTGAGTTCAATTCCCGGCAACCACATGGTAGCTCACAACCACCTGTAATGAGGTCTGGTGCCCCCTTCTGGCTTGCAGGCATACACGCAGAAAGAATACTGTATACATAAAAAAATAAATAAATAAATAAATAAATAAATAAATAAATAATAAAAAGTAAAGAAAAGAAATGTAGGCTCCTAGCCAGTTTTGTCTAGAGGTTTGCTTGGGGACATTCTGTCTTTCTGTTTGCTGTTATGGTCGGTCTTGGTGATTGAAGCCATTTCCCAATGAAGCAAGAGCAGACAAGAACCAAGGCCAGGCAGTGGTGGCGTATGCCTTTAATTCCAGCACTTGAGAGGTAGAGGCAGAGGCAGGAGAATTTCTGTGAGTTCAAGGCCAGGCGAGTTCCAGGACAGGCGTCAAAGCTACACAGAGAAACCCTGTCTCGAAAAACAAAATGAAAACAAAATTAAAAAAGAGTAGACAAGAACCAACTCTAAAATCAAATGACCTGAATTCAGATCCTGATTTCTGCCATGTCACAGCTGAAAACTCTGGAAAAGGGATCTTGTGCTCTTTAGTTTCTGTCACCTTGACAGGACTAGAGTCACTGAGCAAGAGGGACCCTCAAGCGAGGAATTGCCTCCATCAGATTGACCTATAGGCACATCTGTGATGTGTTTTCTTAATTAATGGTTGATGAGGGAGAGCCCAGACTGCTATAGGGAATGCCACCCCGCCCAGCACAGGGTCCTGCTTGAAGAAAGCAAACCCAACAAGTCATGGGGAGGAAGTCAGTTCATAGAAAGCAACCTCCATTGTTTCTGCCTTCTGGTCCTTGCCTTGGGTCCTTGCCCTAACTTCCCTCAGGGATAAATTGTTGCCTCTAGGCCAGTGTTGCCTGTGAGTTGTGACCTCTTTGGGGTCCAATGACCTTTCACGGGGGTCCCCTAAGATCATCGGAAAACAGATACTTACATTATGATTCATGACTAGCAAAATTACAGTTATGAAGTAGCAACGAAAATAATTTTATGGTAGGGGGGTCACCACCACATGAGGAACTGTATTAAAGGGTCGCAGCATTAAGAAGGTTGAGGACCACTGCTCTAAGCTGTACGATGAAATTAACCCTTTCCTTCACGC